GTATCAGACAGGGAGCTGTAGTTTGTACTTACCTATATACGTGTCAGACAGGGAGCGGTAGTTTGTCCTTACCTATATAAGTATCAGACAGGGAGCTTTAGTTTGTCCTTACCTATATAAGTGTCAGACAGGCCGGGACCTGTAGTTTGTACTTACCTAAATAAGTGTCGTCAGACAGGCCAGGAGCTGTAGTTTGTACTTACCTAAATAAGTGTCGTCAGACAGGGAGGTGTAGTTTGTCCTTACCTATACAAGTGTGAGACAGGGAGGTGTAGTTTGTCCTTACCTATATAAGTCTCAGACAGGGAGCTATAGTTTGTCCTTACCTATATAAGTGTCAGACAGTCCAGGAGCTGTAGTTTGTACTTACCTAAATAAGTGTCGTCAGACAGGCCAGGAGCTGTAGTTTGTACTGACCTAAATAAGTGTCGTCAGACAGGGAGCTGTAGTTTGTCCTTACCTATATAAGTATCAGACAGGGAGCTATAGTTTGTCCTTACCTATATAAGTGTCAGACAGTCCAGGAGCTGTAGTTTGTACTTACCTAAATAAGTGTCGTCAGACAGGCCAGGAGCTGTAGTTTGTACTTACCTAAATAAGTGTCGTCAGACAGGCCAGGAGCTGTAGTTTGTACTTACCTAAATAAGTGTCGTCAGACAGGCCAGGAGCTGTAGTTTGTACTGACCTAAATAAGTGTCGTCAGACAGGGAGCTGTAGTTTGTCCTTACCTATATAAGAATCAGACAGGGAGCTGTAGTTTGTACTTACCTATATAAGTGTCAGACAGGGAGCTGTAGTTTGTCCTTACCTATATAAGTGTGAGACAGGGAGGTATAGTTTGTACTTACCTATATAAGTGTCAGACAGGGAGCTGTAGTTTGTACTTACCTATATAAGTGTCAGACAGGGAGGTGTAGTTTGTCCTTACCTATACAAGTGTGAGACAGGGAGGTGTAGTTTGTCCTTACCTATATAAGTGTCAGACAGCTGGGAGCTATATAGTTTGTCCTTACCTATATAAGTGTCAGACAGGGAGGTGTCCATTGAATTTTAATGAACCGGGGATTTTCAGCACATATCGGTGATTGTTACATAATTTGAGTTGTTTTCTTGCTCACATTGCCAAGGGAAACCTACTCAGTTTAATCGGCAGACCTAATCGGTTACATTTAGAAGTTCTATATTGTGTTTAACTGGAGAAGAAATGGAAATATAAAAACACAAACCTCCAAATAAAGAACAACACACCTGGAAAAAGTAAGCATAATTTGAGAGCAAATTAAGAACATTTAACATCAATATCAATCACATCCCTATACAAGATCACATCCCTGTACAAGATCACGATATTCCAATCTGCTGGGGCTCTAGGCGACTAGCTACGTCTGTGAAAGCAGTGGACTGTTGCGGTGTAAACGAAATCTTTCCAAAAATCAATCTCAATTAGTAAGCTTACCTGATCACAGTGGAATGCCCACGAAACTAATCTGCACTTAATCAAGGATGGATCCAAATAAGGCATTACAATACTACATAGATGTATGGAAGGTGGGAGTTAAACAGTTACTTATTTGTAGAAGTTACCTGTCAAAACAGTGAAACAGGATGGGATTCCGTTTACTTATCTGTCGAAACATTGAAACAGGATGGGACTCAGTTTGAGCTCTTCTCACAATGAACCTAAGTCTTTTATCTGGGTTGAAACTTTTTTTAAACAACAGGCAGGGTGCAACCTCTAGATTTCAATGTATATCTTAAATTATGCAAAAATGCAAAAAAAATCTTTCTGTGATTTTATTTTCTTGTGATATTTATGTACTATTGTTCTACTGAATATTCATTACAGCATTTAAGAGACGTATCTTGTGTACAAGGACAGCCATGGTTGTACGTCCAGTCAGGACTTGGAATGACAAGCCTAGTTTTTGTTTCTCAATTTAATCCTTTCTGAGCCCATATTTATGTAGCTATAGTTACTCAGGAAATTACATGTTCGTTACACAGTACTCATGTCACCATGTATTACACAGAGTACAATGGGTACTTACACACAAATTTGATCAAATCTGTAGGAGGAGCTTAAATACTCCTAGATTATCAAACATGTGAATGTCTTCCACAACAACAGGTGGCTGTCAAACTTTATCAAATTATCACAGTTAGTATTGCTATATTTGGATAAATATCTGATACTTAACAAGCTGATGCCCTATGTTTTTAGTGTCCTGAATTTCATTGTCCCCAATCCCTGTACCCCGGGTAATGGTCCCTTTCTCCTGCCCTCCATGGCCCCCTCAAGCTTCCCTTAAGTTGTTGGCTCCTTATTCAACCTCCTGGTCCCCTTCTCCTCCCTAGCCCCATGGTCATATTCCCTAATCTTGTAATCCCCCTCATCATTGTCAATGTGTCCCCCCCCCCCCCCCATCACCCTTGAAGGTCTACCTCCCTATACCCTCCCATTCAGTGAACACCCTCTGTTTCACAGTATACTTGTCACTATGGAAACACAATACAAAGATATTCAAAGTAGCTGTGACTGAAAGGGAAAAAAGTGTGATGCTCCTTTGATTAATAAGGCAACACGACCCCTAATGCATCAAAATTGACAGTCTCCTTTCTTCACAAGCAAACCACGGGGATATACAAGATCTTGTAATATTGACATTGGCTTTCCTCCAGTGAGATGTGAAATAATTGTATAATTGTTCAGGTTATCTTCAACCCGAGACTAGAATAGCTTGGAAGTACAAGTCCATATTGTACAGGTCTTTGTTTTCACAGGTTCATTGTAGTTGTGTGATTTTGATTCTTTAACAAATGTTGAGGTTGAAGATTCATGCATCACCATTAGTTGTCCTCATTTCAGTGCATAAGATTGGTAGCTAAATTTGGTCGGTATTATTATTTTGGGGATAAAGAAAAAAAAGTCTCTTCAACATAAAAACATCATTCTGTGGTATCAGTTTTTAAAAACATTTGACAGATCATGTAGAAGCAAACAGACAAAAAAACAAAAAGCGACAGTTTTCTGAAGGTGTGTCTCGGTTCTTATGTACAACGATTGGAAGCGACTCTTTATTGGTCAGACGGCTTCTAGTTAAGTTCCGACTTTGAAATGCCAGATTTTACTAGCAACTTGGGCCAGTGGATATTCGCAGCCATTCCAATCACCAAGTTGAAAGTATTTTGATTATTCTCTTCTTCAGATAATTGGTCCTTTTATGAGTCGAGGGTGTTTTCAACCTTTAAGAGTGATATTGTAGGTGATGAATCCAAGATCCTTGTAAATTGATCAGGTCTATATAACAGTGTATTAACCAGAAGGAAAGTCTTTATTTATACCCACAACCAAGTATATAGGGACATAAAGGTATGGGTTTCAGTGTTATTATCATATGGGTGACTTCAGGTTTCGGTTTAAGGGTTATAACGGCAATAAACACCCACATCATCATCAACATGAAACTACTCATACATTGATTTCTGTCAGATGGTAAATGATCTCACTTATGAATTACAATTCTATTTTTATGAACATCTTAACAGAGCCAGTTATAAAAAGATATCTTGTTTTAGAATTGAAAATATCGTCCCTGATGGAAATGTGTGCTAACCGCAAACACAGGGCTGCAACAGATGAAACATGAGTGGATTCTTATTGATTACATAATTTTTGTGATAACTTCTTATTGAATTAAATTAGGATACTGTTATTCAGACTGCACCTTGAGATGCCAGATTTTATAAGGAGCAATCATATATCATTAAAAGTTGACTGATTTTCCATGTCAGAGTGATTAATGGCTGTGTCAGGCATATTTAAAGCATATCATTGTTAGTGGGTAAGAATCCTTACCTTCCGTGGCAAATAGTTGTTGGATCTTCTTTCATATTGTCTTTCTAAATGAATTAAGTGATTGTGAAGAGTTTTATAATTCCTGCAATGCGGCTGCCGTGTTAAGCATTGTTAGCTTAAATATGTATGTAACAGATGATTTTTGTTGTTTGGAAAAAAAGAAAGTGCTTGTAATTTGTTATCAATGAATGGTTGAGTTTCCCAAAATTTTTAATCCTTTGGGAGTAGTTTATTTTTTGAGTTATTTAATAAATCATTCGTGTCTAGCATTGGAGATGCTGTTGACCTATATAGTAATCACAGTGTCCATCTGTCTGTCTGTTATATCATTCATTTCCGACATTATCTCAGAATCAAAAAGACTAATCTTTTTGTAATTTGATATTGTGCTACACTATGATATTTATTATGTGCTATAGGAGTTTAAAAAGTTTCTATTATCAAGGTCAAGGTCACTGTTGATAAAAATAATACCCAGGAGGAGGGGGGTTACACTGCCAGGCACATGGCAGGGTAATATATAACAAACCTGTAATGTAAAATAAAGAAATCAACTTTCCCTACATTGAAATTGTTAAAAGCATTCCATGCATATAAATGAATATACATTCACTTTCTACAGATTTGTACTGAGGAACCCTCAGATTCTGATTATTGCTTCATCTTCTCATTTATATCTAGTTAAAGCCCCTTATAGAAATGTTGCAGCACTACAGTAAATGATCTTCACACTTTGGCTGTTGTATTTGGAGGTAGTTAGAAATTTTCAGTATAAGGTCACAGGATTCTAAGGGGAATTAGGACAATACTATCTAACTTATCTTCATCTTTTGGGATGTTGAAATTTCACAACAACAACAAAAATGCGGTTTAGTTTCATGTTCAAAAGGAACACTTTTATAAGTGAATTTATATCACTGTTACAAAAGAACAAGATAGGTGATTTATTAGATACCTTGTATCTTGGATGATTATTGTACGAAATATTTACGAGTGGAATGGTTTGTACAATAAAACAAATGTGTCACATCCTGATGAAATTGTTCATAATATGAATAATATCAAGTTGGTTGTTGCAAATTATTGTTTAAGCTTGAAATCATTTAGAGTTATTTTACAGTTTTGTTGTTGTTTTTTTCTTCAGAAAATCTACACCTGGACAGTGATTGAAAGGACCTGTATACAGTGTATGCTAACAAGGGTAGGTAATTCTTACTCTATTTCTGTACGGTATGAATCGTCTGAGGCTATACATTTAGTGTCATAGATTGAGTCACTATATAGCTAACTGTTGATCAGATACTTAAGCTGATAAACTGTCCAGGTTGAAGGTGATGGGTCCCAAGTCTGTCCACAACAGTACCAGTGCATGGAAAGACCTTGCTTTTTTACACAAAACACATACAAAACTTATTAACTCATTCACCCCTACATATCTAAACTGGACTTGCCCAGTCTTTGATTTGGTAAGGTTCCAATGTGACTTTAGGGGTGAATTGGTTGACAATGTTCATGACACCAATGCAGGTCTAACAGAAATTTGTTTGATTATAGAACTGTGTCATCTTTTCAAATCTAGAAAAAAGTTTTATAAGGAATGAAGGCTCCCTGAGCAGGAATATAATGTATTATCTTCTGGAAGGTAAATTTTGCAGACAATTGAAGTCCAGACTGTTGCTTTTCCTGTAGATATAAGTTGTTGTTGTGCACAATATATGTGTTTATAGATTAAAATGGCCCTGATGTATATAGCAGAAGCTTGTAACAGGAGAATGAGAAGCTTTTTGGGGGGAATTTCTACTTAACTGTAATGGATGGACTTATTACCAGGCATGGGCTTATTGTTGGAGAGGCAAAATAATGTAACAGAGCATTGTATGTATTGATAACGGTCCTTGATGAATAACTAGGCAATCAAACAAACATCAGTGTTATTTTGAGACTAACGTAGGTAATCAATGAACTGTAATGGATGGGCTTATTACCAGGCATGGGCTTATTGCTGGAGAGGCAAAATAATATAACATTTGAAACCTACACAGCATTGTATGTATTGGTCCTTGATGAATATATACATCTAGGCAATCAAACAAACATCAGTGTTATTTTGAGACTAACATAGGTACAAAAGGAAGCATCCTGTTATTGCTAGCTAGCTCTGTGTGTCATGTAAAAGGTCCCTTTTCTCCAGCTCTGTTGGTGCCGCTTCAAATGATATCAACGCAATGTACCTAATGGAGATTGTGATCTGGACCTCAAAGGATTCCGCACCACCAAACAGATCAATATATGTGGATTTTGATTAGAATACGAGGGATGGTGGTAAAAACATAGTTCATTGGCCTAACTACTTAAAGATTTAAATATACACCATATATTAAATATACTCTCGTATCATGACGCAAAAATACTGAAAGAAATGTTGATGTAACATATATACAAATTGTTGGTAAAAAACAGGGAAATTCTTAATTTGGTTTTGTAACCAAAAACATTTTACCCATGTTTGCTTTGCATGTTTATGATCTATTACTTTGAGCTGAAGGTCACATTGACCTAAATGAAGCGTGCTGCATATACCTTGTGTTAGTGATGTAGCTAGGTATACTTCATGTTTCAATAGAGTTCAAACCAGAGGTTGCATAAACATTTAAACAAATCTGTTGTACATATACTCTTAATTATAGCCGGTAAAATCTCAAATTTGATTGGATGAAAGAGTTAAGAGAGGAAAATTCAACATAGGGCACCAGTATATTTTAAAAACATATATAAACTAGTGTGAATGTGAGAGGGAACACAGAAATACAGAAAAAGTCCCAGTCCATATCTGTGGACCTGGGCTGAACATGTATGCATGACTTGAGTTGGTCATGAAACATGGAATAGTGAAATAAAAAGCTATTTGGAAGAGCACCCTGTACCCAACAACCCTCGCATCCTTTTGAGATAATTTACTGTCCAGATGAGTCGTGCCGTAGTAACCTGTCTGAAGGGGTTTACTGGTTCAGTGCTGATCTCTATATAATTAGTTTGTTCTGAGTGATCCTATTATGTTTAGTTTATGTGTGTGAATTTGACAGATCAATAGCTTTTTTATGACTTGCTGCTGTAAAATGTGAAATTTTCATTTGAAAATGGAAAGAAAATGTCATTGCCTGTTACAGAGACTTGCTGTTGATTTTTTTAAATCGGTGAACAAAGTGTAAAAACAAATCTACGCAATAGTCGAGTACCTTCAATAAATAGGGTGTGTGTATTTAAATAAACAGAAACCTGCGTACATACAAAATGGGTTTATCCAAAGTACCATTTTCTTTCGTCAAATATACCATCTTTGTTTGGATTTCTAGAAAAGTTAGCTACCAATTAATTTACCGGTAAAAGCATTTTGAAACATCAACACAAGTTTCCGTGTTAAACTGTGACTCAGATATCTCTTAAAAGGAATCAGAAGTCTATATTTACTCAAATCGTGACAATACTTTAGTATTGATTGTCACATCATGAGATGTGCGTTTAAATTAGTCTCGGGTGGTTGCGACATTAAATATAAATAGGGACGCGGGTTAAATAGGGCCGGGGGTATTCATATTACAGGTAGACCATAGAGTATTATATTACAAGGTACGTGTATATAGATTGTATTAAGTGGGCGTGTACTGTATTGATACATGTAACATAAGGAAATTTATGACAACACTAACCTACCTATATTTCGACCTATATTTCGTCACTTGGATGAGAACATGAGAACTTAGTATAATACACCTTAAGGTTATTTATAGTGCATAATTATACTTCTATAAATAGGTTTTGATCTTTATCGTGTGTTCTTGAAGTTAGTCATCCAGGATAATGTTTGAATGACGATAAGAATGTTTATAATAGTTACTTCCTGGACATAGTAGATCGATGTTCCTGATGTGAAGACTGCAGTCCTTAAATTGTAGACGGAACGATATTATTGATGGAATAGTGTCCAACCCAGCGGTCATCTCGTCCGTACCAGGCTATTTAATCAACAGTACAGGTATTGGTGCTTAAGTCAGTATTTGTCAATCACCTGTGACCTATAAAAAGCTGGATTTTAATATGTTTAGTTGATAATATTTATTTAAACTTTATTTGTTTCACAACAACTACGAAACAAGTTATGTTCACTTATATTAACTCATTTACCCCTGGAGACACATTTGAACTCTTCCAATTCAAAGGTTGGAAGAGTTCATTATGAAATTTCAGGGGTAATGAGTTAGTAATTCTTATTTGCCTAGATGTTAGTGTGCAGGGGGTCTTCAAGCAGGAGGAAATGGGGAAAACCCCTGTGGTCTGGGAGGCAGGTGCATGACCCCACATGACCTTTTCACATCCGATCGGAGAGGTGAAGGCTCTTAACCACTCCACAACCTGATCACCAAAATATCTAATATATATGTTTCATGCTAAGTTTTATTCTGTTTTATTTGTCATATTAAATATTGACAGTGAAATTGCTTCATTCTATGGTATTAAAATTAAACTTGATGGTTCAATTTAAATGATAAGATAATTTAATTATCCTGTCCTAGGTGTTTTCTAACCTGTCATTATTATCACAGCTGTTAACGAGGACGATAATAGATACATGGAATGTCAGACAAGCTTTCTTTATCAGTACTTTTTTAATTAATTAATTTGTATAAACTAATAAATAATTTTCATAATAAACTAGACAGAGATTATGAATTATTATTATGAAATGTATGTATAAGTCTCCACTACAAATTAAACTATTACCTGGTGCTTGTTTTCGGTGATTAATTGTGTGCTGCGGACATTGTATAAATTGGTCATAATCATGATGTAGGTACATACAGACCACACCTCAGTCAGGTCGCCTAAACATATGGCCAAAGGGTTAGGTGTTACAAGTACACACAACTCTATATGTATTTTTCGTATTTCAACAAATTTTATTGGACAAAAAATTGCACAATAGGATAAGACAACAGGCTTAGCCTATATAAGTCTTCTCCTATCCGGTATTAATTGACAAGAAGCATAGATTTAGTACATGGATCAACGAGACACACTCATATACACTTACAACCATACCATAACACACATACACCCTCACATACACCATCACATACATATGATAAATAAGCATTCACAAACACGCACACATACACACACAAGCCCTTTCTCAAAATTTAAGATATACATATATATATAAATAAATATAAGTATAAGAGACAATGAAAACTGTCATAATTTTAATTAAATCTGTTAGTAGCAGAAATGTATTGCTGAACTTTTGAGAGAATAAATAAATTATCATCAGTAGATAGATAAACATTACTAGATGTAAGTAGATCAACAGATGAATATCCAAAATGTTATGAAATGTCTATAGTTAATATAAAGTGGACATCAGAAGAAATATTGTTCAGCATTTTCACAAGATGTGCCACAAGAGCAAGATGGATCAACTATCAAGTGATCATAACATTAAATGTATTGCACATACACCGTTGAAAATCCGCTCTCCACTCGTCTCGGTCAAAATCCGCTCTCCACTTGTCTTGGTCAAAATCCGCTCTCCACTCGTCTCGGTCAAAATCCGCTCTCCACTCGTCTCGGTCAAAATCCGCTCTCCACTCGTCTCGGTCAAAATCCGCTCTCCACTCGTCTCGGTCAAAATCCGCTCTCCACTCGTCTCGGTCAAAATCCGCTCTCCACTCGTCTCGGTCAAAATCCGCTCTCCACTCGTCTCGGTCAAAATCCGCTCTCCACTCGTCTCGGTCAAAATCCGCTCTCCACTCGTCTCGGTCAAAATCCGCTCTCCACTCGTCTCGGTCAAAATCCGCTCTCCACTCGTCTCGGTCAAAATCCGCTCTCCACTCGTCTCGGTCAAAATCCGCTCTCCACTCGTCTCGGTCAAAATCCGCTCTCCACTCGTCTCGGTCAAAATCCGCTCTCCACTCGTCTCGGTCAAAATCCGCTCTCCACTCGTCTCGGTCAAAATCCGCTCTCCACTCGTCTCGGTCAGTATCTCTTTCTCAGGTTGATATTTAAGCATTGAACTGTTTTTGTAAGGTATTTATGATCTATTTGAATGACACAGCTGTACAAGCAAGCGACATAATGCAAGCTAGCGCATTATGAGTTGTTTGCTTGCAATGCTGTGTCATTCAAATAGATCATAAATACCTTACAAAAACAGTTCAATACTTATATTTACGTTTCTCTTCCTCTTATGTTCTTTTTTAACTTATAATTTATATTTAAAATTAAAAATACCCGCCATATCGACAGTACACACAATTTCGTTCAATAATTTGAACAGCGTATTGTCGCATGCTAATTGGCAAACAAAGTAGTGCTTTGAAATTTTAACAAACACTTCAATTTTATTCCCAATTCAGTATCAATACAATTGCGTATGATATGTCTATAGGGTGATTTAAGTTTATCAATAGAACTCTGAGCTGAAAGTTAGATTTGAAATTGTTCCGATATTTCCAGGAAACAAATTTTGCGCATGGACAAATACAGTGAACACCGTGAATCCGACCTTGACCTCCACGAGGGAGTTATTGTTGGAAGTTAATTCAAAAGTTTCTCTTTGCTCATTTTATGAAGAATCCAGACACTAATTTATTTGTTGATTGTATGGGAATCGGACTACAGTCGGTAGATTATATAACAACCTCGTTATTTGACATGTCGTGATCAGAAACTGGGTAAACCGTGGCTGCGAGACGTGTGAAACTGATATCATTTGAAGTGAGTGATCTTGCGACGGAGCACAGGGTTTCGTTACAAATGTCTGAAATGTTTATGTGTCAGTAGGTCTATAGAATATGTGTATTTCAGTCATTTGTAACGAACCCATGTTGATCAGTGCAGTGTAACACAATATTTCTGATAAATTGCATGAGTGTTAAAATTGTTTCCATTGGTCTTGTTTTTGTTGTAATAAAAGTATTTTTATTTACTTTTTTCTTTTGCACATAAATTTAAAATGACATTGTCAAGTTTCACAATGCCCAGCTGCCGTCATGTTTATTTACATTGGATATTGTAGTTCCGGTCAGTGTTGTATTAATACGCTAAGAATTGTGTCTCGTGCTGCATGGTAATTAAAGTCCCATCAACGACACAGCTTTAAAAGAGGCTATATAGTGACAGTGCCATGCAAATGTAAATATAACCATATACACAGTATATAATTATGGACATTCTAATTGTAGCGATGTATATTTAATCAGGCAGGTTAATTGTACCACATGATATAATGCAGCCATATTGATATTTTTTTGTGTGTTAATTATACATAGAGATTATTATTATCATGTGATGCTCATATTTATGAATAAATATAAGTACAACGTATGTCAATCACTGCTTTGCCACATTGTAATCTGGTATAATTGAGCCACTGTGATCCAGCGACTGGCCACTAATCCAGATGTTCCACTATATATAGCAATCGCTAATCCAGTTATCCCACTATATATAACCAGTATTACACTATACAAAATTTACCTGATTATCCAACGGTTCCACAATCCAACCAATTTTGCTGTGGAGAAGGTGGCTGGATTATTAAACTAGTGTTAAATGTCTGTAACTTGTAATTTACCTTGCACTGTAATTATTACAACGTAATCTACATTGCCTTTACAGTAATTAACATGGGCTGTGTATGTGGTGCACATTTCACAGAAGTGTGCTAATCATACACAACGTTTTGATTGGCTAATTGACTTGCAATGGACCTTACTTTCTAATTACTGAAATTGACAACAGCTGTGTTACATATATTTCACAAAGGGTGATACACCTCCTCAAATTTTGACTGCTGTTATAAACATCCGGTGTAACTGTTGTTATTACTCAAATTAGTATGAATTCCAAGAAAAGCTGTTAACCTTAAAAGTTTCTTTTCTATTTAAAAATATAAGCTATCTTACACATTTAACGTGTGATCAAGAAATAAGGTTATATATCGGTTAAATATACCTGTGATATATGTGTTAGAGTGATCTCCCTTGAGGGTGAAACTACATTACTTGTTATACCTGTGATTTGTGTTAAGTTAAGGGTACATGTATAGGCTACCTTGCATAGTGCCTGTGTTTTGTGTAAGAGTTATGTCCCCTGAAAAATTTTGAATGTGATTTTTGACTTATCTGACCATTTATGAAAATAATAAATACATGCTTTATTGTGTATTTTTCCAGCTTATGATTTAGTATTTTACTTGGCTCAAATTAAACAATATATCACAGATATTAAATGTGGCTCAAAGAGATATACCCCCGCGGTATGCACTTTGAAGTAGTACATAATCATAACTTGAGGTACATCTATTCTCAACTGTATCAAAAGGGGAAAAATAGAGGATTGTTCATTAATTTATTTTTCCTTTTGTTTCATGACAAGTTGAGCATTGCTATTGCAGTTTATTCATTCACTCAGAAAAACAGGTTCATAATCAATTAACCTAGAAATAAACATGGTTGTCATATTTCAGTTATATTCAGCCTGTAAAATTACATAATAGCGATCATTTTTCGACATATAAATGCTTTTACGTAGTCAATTATTCTAATGCACAGCATTGACATTTTTATTAGCAATGTTTTATGCTGAAACCTTTATGTAATAGTTGTGAATTATTTATTGACTCAAAGCATCTGACCATGTACAGTTGAAACAAGAAACACGTTTACCTTAATATTATTGAAATTGACACAGATGGCTTAAATACGATCATTCATCTCTCCATCAGTAATCTGGTTGTCCCACTATCCATCCAGGGGACAGATTGGCGTTTCTCTAATACAACAATGTGCGAGTTTTCAGACCTATCACAGTCCAGACAATTTGACAGGAAACACAGTATTTCTGGATCACCAGCACTGTGCTTTATTCCTGCAAACTTTTTCTGTAGTTTGAGTTTCACATTTTTCGCCTTCCATATAAATGCGGTAAACTTGTCACGATAAACATTAGTAAATAAACTACCATGAACAATATTTCCAATGTCAGAGGTGAAATTAATATTGGGCTTACGTGGAACTTGTTTGGAAAGGGCAAATATTTGACTGGGTGAACATTTCCCAGTTTACAGCCTCATCTCTGACATTCAAATGTGTTCGTTGTTCCTTTGTTGACTTAAGGTTATATGTTACCTTTTTATCTTCCATAAAAAAAGAGTTCCAAAATAAAACCTGTGAAAAATCACATGCAAATGTAAATGATTGTTTCCCTCTATACAAAGCAAGGTAATGATAAAGCTCTAACATCAAAATGAGACAAAAAAAATCAGAATTGATCCAACCACTTAATAGTTGATACAAACACAAATATGTTGATAAATACCCCCCCCCCCCCCCCCCCNTCAACTACAGTGAGGTGTTACATAATTTACCAGGTATGGTATTAATCTACAATTTGTGTTTATTTCCTGTACGGGGTAGCTATTTCATGCAATCTGATTGAAGGACATTACTGATTAAGCCTTTGATTAACTTAATCTTCTGGGACATTTACAACAGGAAGTGGGCCGTTGATTTCCATCATTATAAAAGAAACCTTAATACGATGTTTTTGCACCGCTAATGACATTACAAATAACTTATTATGACCAATTTTGGATGACCATGTATATGTCAAAAAGAAACTTTCCTTGTATTTTATTTAACCTTATGTAAATATAATTCAGAAAAAGAGAATATGCTTACAGGAACCACACATCTTTTTAGCATTGCCTTGTATGCGTTGATTGCAATTGGTGTAGAACCAGTACAATATAAATCTATACAAGTATTTGTTTCAGGTTAGTTGACTAGCAGAAAAGTCGTTGATATGGTTTGATTTGGAGTTCGTTGCCCCATTTTATATCCGTGACTCTGTTGTACACAGATCCCAGTGGTTGGTCTATTGGGAGGTTTTCTGTAACAAGAGTTGAGCTCATTTTCATCAGCGTTGGGGTTACATGAGCACCACAGTAAGCTGAGCGAGCCTTCTCGGCACGGTGTCTGTATAGGAGATCGTTGGGAGTAAGAGCACACAGTTGAACAATTAAACCCATTGCATGTATGCAGCTCCTTAATGGCCTAGTACTAATAGGAAAAAAGTCTGTTTGATTTTATAGGGTCTATTTAAGGAAACCTTCCATGTAATTTGGTTACTCTCACAGCTGAACCGTTAACAGTTGATGAGCTCGCATCTGTAGTTTGAATTTAAACATGTTGGCCAATCAAATCATTGATTGTCATGTCGCCAGTGTCAATGCTGCGTGCAAAGCTTGAGATACAAACTGACTTCACTTAAATATTATCTATAATTTAGGTAGCAAAAGTTACGATAAATATTTCAAAGTGTGATACATTATATGTTTGAAATACCCCATAGAGAAAACATTTCCCTATGGTATTGATAATGTTCAAATTTATTCACACTTTGAAATTGATAACAGGCAGGACTATTGTTAGAGATAAGACGGGTTTATATAAGAATTTACCTTTATTTTGAAGGCATATATGGTAGTATGAATGCAGTTGGCAATTAACATATTTTATGTTGTGTGTAAGCACTCTATAAAGAAGATACAAGAAACTTTATTTTTTGTTGTATATATATAACATGAAGCTTTAGCTCTGAAGAGCTATTCTAACGAAAGGAAAATAAGCTTGGATTTTTTATCGCGCTTAAGCGTGAACAGTGCCATATTGAAACAAGTATCGATCCGTTGAGCTTTTTTTCACTGCGTATACACTTATTTATACGCAGTCAGAGTTTACTTAGCTGAAGAAGGGAGCAATGTAAATATATAAGAACAACTACTCTACCCATGAGGTATATACAACATGCACTCGGAAGGGCTCGAAGCTTGGGATTGCCAGGGGATAAATTAATTTGACTAATAGTTCAAAAATAGCAATTTACAAACCAGGGAAGCGCTTTGTTATGAAACATGTAGCGTCCCCATAGCTGCCGCCGAGCGATTAAAACATGCATGAGTTACCACTTTCCCTAATAGTTCTTTGGTGTAAGTGCCAGACAGAATCACCGCACAAGTCTTCTTTAACTGTTTATCAAAGATTATGCCTGCGTAAGTAAGAAAATGATATATTTTATCTCTCTGTGGTAGCCATTATTTTAAACCCATCTTTCAGCAAAACTTTCTTGAGTTTGAAGTGCTTCAGCACCACGTCTTACACAATAAAGTAGACCGGAATTTTAGAAAGATCTCCTGTAATGCCATAATGTAAGTATATGATATCAACATTAAAA